TATCCGATTAAAAATTTGTAATAATTCTCATTCCCAAAAACCCCCACATACCAATTTTGGACGAAATCGGACGAACATGAATAGTACTTTAAAATTCGAGGTATTTATGTATTTATTAACTGGATGCATGGCACAATGCAGTAAAAAATAACCCAAGTGAATTATACCGTATGATCGAATAAAAACGGCGTCAGCGATGGCTATGAAATGAAGATCGTTGTCATTTTATATGTAAAATTATATGGGAAATGTCATCGATCGTCATTTCATAGCCATCGATGACGCCGTTTTTATTCGATCATACGGTATATTTAAACAATAATAATAGTTAAGTAAATAAATATCGGCTAAGGCTATATTCGAAATATTTTATGAACAAATAAAATTTAAAAAAAATAGATAAATATTTTGGTATGCTCAAAATTTGCCGCTCCTAAAAATCTGCTGCCCCAGGCCCGGGCCTAGTTGGCGTAGGCCTAAGTCCGGCACTGCTTGTACAGCCTCTCAAATAGTGCTGTTGGGGTTCGGCGGTAAACTGTAGGTCCCGTGAACTTGTGAAATACTCATGACACACATCACAAGTATCCGACGCTCTGATAGAGTATGGCACTGTAAGCAATGCATATGTCAAATTTGAACAATTTTGGACAAGCCGTTTTTAACTAATTTAAGAAAAACTGCATATATTTTTAAATTAAAACTATGTTATAGTACCTACAGTTAAGGTGTGCCCGATATGCATTTTTGTAATTTAAAACTTGTTCATATCAGACGCCGAAGGTTTAGGAAATACAGGGTCCGGCAATAGTGCGTCGGGCATCTAATAGCTCCTAATATAAAAATAAAAAAATATAAATAATATCAAAAACTTCATTAGCAATTTTGTTTACGTGTAAACCTAAAGTAGGTATATATTAGGATGTATTTCAAAAAAAATTATTTAACCTCTACAGGGTGACTCAATAAAGTGTGAGTGGATCAGGATGATTTTTTAATGAAACATCCTGTATATTATTACATTTTGATCACTTTACATAATCTTAAGATATTTTTCAATACGTTTCGATAGTTTCAGAGATATTAATAAATAAATAAATAAATTATAATTTTTTTTTTGAAGAAGTTCCAATCATTTTCACTGAGAATAATTGTGGAACTATTTTCTAAAGTCATTTTTAACTAATTTAAGAGAAACTGGAATTGTGGAACTATTTTCTAAAGAGTAGTACTGTATGATCGAAAAAAAACGGCGTCAGCGATGGCTATGAAATGAAGACCGCTGTCATTTTATATGTAATTTTATATGGAAAATGTCATCGATCGTATTTCCCAGCAATCCCAGCCAACAGGAGGCCGTTTTTTTTTTCGATCATATGGTATTATACCGGATGCAGTGCCTCAAAAGTGGCTCACCCCTATAACTTTTTAATTTTTTCAGTAAAAAAAACGAGATTTGGTATATTAGTATATGACATAAATTAGAATTGATTGATGTATTCAATTGTTTTCGGCCACTTGTTTCGCCGGAAATGACTACAACTTTTGATTTTTAAATGACACCCTGGGTATTTTTTTACTTTATTAGATAGAAAAGAACACTCTGAATAGAATGAGATATCATTTGTCAATTTTTGACATTTTCGCATATGGTTTTTTCGAAATTATAACTTGCGGTTTGTAACGAAAATTTGACTCGAAATACCAAGTGTGTGGTATCAATTTATCCGTAAAAATGCTTTTTCCAAACATGGTAATGAGCCACCCTCGTTCCATTTGAAAAAAATCAGGTATGCTTAAAAATACGATTTGGGCATCTTTTAACCGGCCAGGACAAGACACTAAAAACATTCTACGATCAAATATATTTTTCCAAGGCTGCTTGATTAAGAATTAGTGTTTTTAGCATAGCCACGACACTCTAGATTGAAATTTAAACTACGATTTTTTATTAATAGAGAATGTCAAAAGTTGATATATGATAAGTCATTCTATTCAGAATGTTATGTCCTATCGAATAAAGTAAAAAAATAGCGAGAGTGCCATTTAAAAATCAAAAATTATAGTTATTTCTGGCGAAACAGGAAGTGACCAAAAACAATAATTGAATAAGAATCGTCAATAAATTCTAATTTATGTCATATACTAACATACCAAATCTCGTTCTTTTATCTGAAAAAATAAAAAAGTTATGTGTGAGCGACTTTTGAGACGCACCCGGTATAGCGAAAGAGATTTTATAAAATCCCAATGGAAACAGAAGCAACTCCACGGCCATCATCACACTGATCTTAGCTTGAAATATGTCGACATTAGCTTCATTCCAACTCAGATATTTCTAAAATTTCAACTTTAAATCATTTCCTGCGGGTTCCTATGAAAATCTAAGAAACAAAAAATAGGCCATGAAAATGCCAAAAAATTGCACATAAATTTAGGTTTAACAATAGACGAATTTAAATATTGTTTTTTTATGTTTGCTGTAAAACGATTGTAATATGATTAGAGGCAACATTGCAAATTTTTGGATATTTATAAAATTATATTTGTCTCTCTCATTGCATAGGCACAATGCATATGCGTGAAATGTCAAACTTCCATGTTGTCTCAGTTTTCTTTATTTCTAAATTTTAACTTTTTTCATTTTAGATGCAGAATTAAAAAAAGAACGATTTTTGTATTTAAAGCATTTCTAAATGTCTTTAACCGTTTCGCAGATATTTGCGATATTATATTGTATACTTCGTCATCGATCGTCATTTCCAAGCCAACTGACGCCATTTTTTTCGATACGCATAATGATTAAATACAAAATTATTCGTTCCTTCATTCTACATCTAAAAGAAAACAAATTTTATTTTATTTATTGTGTTATCCTTTGGTGTTTAGGAAATATAGATAAATATTAATAAACATAAAGTCATCGGGTTTTTAGTTTTTACCACTTTTCAGATATGCTGTTTTTAACCCAAGTTTTAGTAAGAAATAGCATGGCAACATCGCATATTCCTTTAAACAAAATGATGTATGATAGCAGAATTTTATGTTGAATTCAATTCTACGCACAGAAAAATTAGGATTACAATTTAAAAAACACTTACAACTTCATCATTAATTTTTATTTGGGGGGGGATACCCTGTATACAACAACATACTTTTAAGATATGCACCTTTTTAAACCCTGCAACATTTATATTAAACTATTTTTCATATCTTTGTTAACAACGACAATATTTAATTTCCTCGCATTAATGGGCTACTCTGTATAATACAAGAAGATCCAACATCATATCCTGATTGCAACTGATTTATAACATAAATCCTGGCACATCTAAAGCGAACAAAGAAATGAAATTAAAAGCTAAATTTAACTTCTTTTATAAAAAATAAAAAATCGTACCTACAGGATTCGGCAATAGTGAGTCGGGCATCTGTAGCTCCTAGAATAAAAAAAAAATTAAATTTTGTTTAAGGGCTAATCTAAAATGTGTTCTAGGATGTATTTCAGGAAAATATTTTAACTTCTATAGAGTGGCTCAAAAAAGTGTGAGTGGATGGGGATGATTTTTTTTTAAATGGAACACCCTGTATACTATTGCATTTTTGGCTTCTTTTCAGATCACTTTACATAATCCTAAGATATGAGTAAATAGATTTCGATAGGTTCAGAGATATTAATAAATAAATAAAAAATATACATTTGTCAGCCTTTCTTAAAAAAATTATTAAAAATACAAAAACTCTCCTGAAATCAAAACTATAATAAGTATTTACTTTAGATGGTTTGTACTTACTTTGCTGTAAATATGGTAATAATATGGTATAAAATCAAAATTTTACGCCAAACTTTTCTAAAATATAAAATAATTTTTCTTCGTTTTTTTAAATAGAACACCCTGTATATTATTTTTTCAGTAGATGGAGAATTAAAAAATAATAATTTTTTGTATTTATAGTATTTCAAAATTTTTAACGGTTTTGCAGATATTCCCGGTTTTATATTTTATATGGCATTTTCCATAGTAAATTTTTACCAAAGATTTGTCTCTAGTATTTTACCGTTGAGAGAGTCATACGAAATAATACTGTGTGTATCTGCGAAACCATTAAAAATTTTGAAATACTTTAAATACAAAAAATGTTCATTTTTTAATTCTCCATCTAATAAAAAAATAATATACAGGATGTTCCATTTAAAAAAATAAAGCAATATTAGTTTATATTTTAGAAAGTTTGGCGTAGAATTTTGAACATCCTGTATGATTAAATATTACGATATTTATAGGAAAGTAAGTATACGCTATCTAAATTAAATATATAATATAGTTTTGAATTCAGGACAGGTTCTTGTATTTGTAATATTTTTTTTTACTGAAAGTTGAAAAATATATATTATTTATTTATTTATTAATATCTCTGAAACTATCGAAACATATTTATTCATGCCTTAGGATTATGCAAAGTTATTGAAAAAAATTATCCCGATCCACTCAAACTTTTTTGAGCCATCCTATAGAAGTTAAAATATTTACCTGAAATACATCCTCGTACATACTTGAGGTTTAAACTTAAACAAAATTCTCAAGTTTTTTATTCTAGGAGCTACAGATGCCCGACGCACTATTGCCGGACACTGTATAATTTATAAAAATCAGTAACCACACAAGATAAATTAAAATAATAACACCTTCAATAATAGCCGTTCCGGGAAACGGTCGACGATTTAAATAAAATAAATCTACACCTTTATCACCGTACTGTTGAGGGAAAAAATATTGATCTGCCATTGACTATTGATATCGAAAAATGTAATATGTATCTTAATTTTCTTTAATATTAATTAGGTATGTTGTAAATTGTAAATAATTATATCGTAAAATATTATCATTACAGGAAAATACAATCTACGCCGCCTGACCTCGTCAATAGGTTTGGTTGCCAAGCGGGACACACCGCATCCACAATGCGAGGCGATTCGCTTCGAACGGCTGCGCGATACAGTGTGACCGGAATGCCGATCGATACGTTGTTGGCTGGTCGTGAAGCGTTCGGGGGAATGCTCGAGCTCGACCTACCGTTAACTTGCTACACGCTATACGCTCAGTACGAATTGTGCACGCAGTTTAGACGGTAATTTTTGCCTCGCTACCTACGAATCCGTGTCATGGAGAACGGAATTATACGACGTCTCGTTAAATTATATGGGTGTCACCGATCACTATGGGATCCCAAACATTGCGATTATTATAATAAGAGTAGAAGGGAAGCGGTATGGAACGAAATATCCAGAAATACAAATGTTCCTGCTAAAGAACTGAAAAGAAAAATGACGTCACTCTTGGGATCTTACAGGCGAGAAAAGTCCAGAGAAAAAAAGAGTCGTATTAATGGATTAGGTACGTATTTAACACAACTTTGTTACAGGGCACAGCTACCAATTGGTTTACGTATTATGTTAGAGTACTCTGGAATATTTGAGTAATTTTCTCAGTAGTATTTGCATATTTTAAGGTATTCTGGTGTTAGGATTTGCAATCACGGTATATGTAGATCCCGTTTATATGATTGGGTTGTTTTTTGGTTCGTTGTCATGCTGTATGGTGCAATTCTGTTTGGCGCTCTGCTTGTTTTCTATTGTTGTTGTCCCATATTAGATTAGGTTGCCTCCTTGGATTTCTTATGCCTCTCAGGTACTATTGGATAATTTTGTGATTGGTTTTTTGGCCAGTCCTTCAATTTACTTGCCTACCACTATTTTAGTGGTTAGTGGTGTTCTGTTCATCTGTCTTCATTTCTCTCTTCAGCATCTTATATCATCTCTATATAGATGTTTCTGTTACCTGGAGTTTCTTTATAAATTCTTATTGCAATTTTCCTGTTTCGCAGCCGTGACATGTCATCAATAATCATGTCATGATTGGTAGTTGATATTATGGTATTTAGTGGCCTTAAAAAAGCCAATCAGTTAACATTATGAACATTTCCTTCCTGTCCAATCCGTGCATTTTATGTAGGTAGCAAATTTTGTAGCGTTGCGTTGGCGAGATTTGTTCGGCAATTTAGTACCCCTTTCTGCCATTGTTGTTATATAGGGAGGAATCAAATTTTCGTTTTTGCTGTTACTTTACATTTATATGTTTTGTAATAATGGAAATATATGTATTCTTCTTCTTAAGGTGTCGTACAGATTCCTGCATAGCCGTTCATCTTTTTCTTCCTCATCAGATGGTTCTATTAACTGCAGCGACTTGGAGTGCTTGGAAGTCCTGTATGACAAATATTTCTCAGCCAGGATAGCTTCCTTCGGCCTATTCCCCTTTTGCCCCCCTCGATTTTACCCTGGAGAATCAGACGCTGAAAGTAATAGCGTTCTCCACGTAGTATGTGTCCCAAATAGGCTATTTTCCTCTTCTTGATGAATTGGAAGAGTTCACGTTCTTATAGACCAGCTCTTCATTCCTCACACCAGGGGTCATTCCTCACACCAGGGGTGAACCCGGGGCACTCTTAGCATTCGTCGTACGGTCCACATTTCGAAGGTTCAATTCGGTTTATTGTTGCTACCTTCAGTGTCCATCCTTTCACACCATATAACAAAACGGACCGGACATAGCACTTCACTATTCTGTATCTAAGGCCAGTTCCTATATGTTAGAAACCCTCGAAGTTTCAAAAAAGTTGATCTTACTTGTTCGATCCTGCCTTTGAACTCCTGATCTGGTTCTGACGTTTGGTTAACCATGCATCCCAAATATTTAAATTGTGTGACCTGCTTGATGACCTATCCATTTAAGTAAATTCTGGTGTTCGGGATGTTGTTTCTGCTAATATATATACACCCCTGTACACACCCCTGCCTTACCCCCTGTTTTATTTTAAAATCTTCTGTTACCCCCACGTTATGTATACGAATTTAAGCTTTTTCGTTCCAATACTAATTATTGATCAGCCTTATATTTTTTCCATCAAGTCCCAAGTCTCCGAGGTATGATATAAGGAGGTTATGTTTAACATTATCGAACGCCTTTTCCGTTATAAAGCACATGAAGACATCCTTTTCTCTGATCTTGACAATTCTGAAGACTGAATATGGCTTGTCTAGGACCAACGCCGTTCTTAAATCCAAATTGACCATATATCTATCGTATACCCACATCCGTATCCACATGCTTCTTTACATTTTTGAGTCTTGTATGCAGCACCCGTAGAAAGAGAGCTTGAAGAAGTGACTCATTAGACTAATAAGACGATACTCTTAACACGAAGTTGCATTACTTGACTTGGGCAGCGTGGGCAGCGTGAAGTTTGTTCATTAGTTAAGTGGAACGTTTCCGAATACATATCATCAGGCCCTGGAGTTTTGTCGTTTTTCGTTAATCTAATCGCATGAATAATTTCACTTTCTAATATGCTTGGTCCTGATGGCATGGGAATCTCAGTTGCAGGGTTTTCTTGTCTTTCGTTGTTGAAAAGATCATTGGTATAATTTCTCCAAGTTTGCAATATTTTGTCAGTTTCCGTTATTATTTTATTTTCCTCAGTTTTAATTAGGCTTATTGATTTATTATAGTGTAACTCAGCTATCTCTTTCACTCTCTTGTGAAGATTGAAACTGTCTCCAAGGTGACTGAGATTTTCGGCCTCTACACATCTCTCCTTCAACCATGTCTTTTTTGCCGTTCTGATTTAATTACGAATTTTTCTTTGCATAGATTTATATTCATTGTGACTATTCTGGATTTTATATTGACTTCGTTTTCCACTCGTTTTTCGCTGTTGTTCGATTAGCTGTGAAAAGGTTTTCATTTGTGTTCTTGAAAGCTTGCTTAATGCCCAGGCATTGATTCTCAATGTCATTTGTACTGACAGTACTTTCCAATTCTCTATTTTAATGGTTTTCATACATTGATCTTGTCTGCTGGTCTCTGAGTAGTTTCGGGTCCAAGTTCTTCCTCAAACGTCTTCGTTTAGGTTTGGCAAAACGTAATAGGATGTTGGCACCTAAGGTTGGCACGTAATGGATTGTGGTCCGATTCAATATCGGCACCCTGGTATTGTAGTTACTTTTGTGATCAGGTTTCTAAATCTATTATTAATTACGATATAATGTATTTGATTACGAACGATTACGAACAATACGGTAATCATTGTCTTGTGAAGACTTCCAGGTATAAAGTCTTCTAGATGGGAGTTTGTACCATTGTAACGTAAGGTTCTGAAGACTGGTCAATAAAACAACTACTGCAGGAAATATATTTTTTTATTTTCCACGCTGATGGTTGTAAGTGTGGTTTAGGAAAAGTTCTACAAACTTCTAAAATAAATTATAATTAATAGGGAACCGAGTTAAGGGTTGTAAATCAATTTCTTACCTAACACCAGGTTTATACCCCAAAATAATAAGAATATAATATATTTGGTAATAAGTCGAAAACCAAAGGCTGTTAACATTTGTAGCGGTATAAATAAAATGGCGATCAACCGAATTCCATTATTGCAAAAAAGCGAAATTTATAAATTGAACTACCAGAGCCATCTATATATTTGTTTATAAGAAACCTAATGTTAACATACAGAAACCTAATTTAACATTATATTAAATTAATGTATTATATTTAATATTTCTCACATATTTTATAAATTATGCTACACCATGTATTTATGATTGTAAGATTATTTTCTTTACAGTATTGTATCAGTTTCTCACCTCTGCAATTCTTTTCACCTAACCATAATTTCCGACCACAGATCCCAACCTGCCTTTATCGACTTTGGCATTAAAATCTCCTAAAACCAAATTTATTTCATTATTTTTTGTGAGTCTTAGGACCTGATCAAGTTGTCTGTAAAAGTCTTCAATCTTGTCCTCTGCCTTTTCTGCTATTGGAGCATAGACCTGGATGTTATTGATATTAATAGGCCTGCCCAGTAACTGAATTAGAATTACGCAAATATACACGTATCACGTATGCGTAAATTTCTCACTGCACAAGCGTACATGTCAAATGATACGTTTACGTATACGACTTTCTGGGCTAACTATCTGTCCTGGCAACAACGTGGTGGCAACTGTCTACTTATTACGTATCCTTAAACGCAATCGATTTTTCACTGCGCAAGTGTACCGTATCAACGTACACGTCATGGGCGTGTGTTAACTGTCTAATAGCACGAAAGTTTTCATTTTCTTTTTAAGGGGGAGTATTAGGAAAATTGTTTGCGTGTATAGAAAAATGGTCATCAAAGAGCAGTTACCAAAAATCACTTGTCGAACTCTGCACTTGCGCAATTAGAACCCGCACATGAAACATTGGATCCATGTCTGTCCTCGAGCATCTTGAGACAATAGGCCGCTACAGAACATGCACTGGATGCACTCTGCATCTTCTGAGTCAGGTTTCCTGTTTTATTACGGCATGGGGCTCACTCTTTGTGTCAAAATGTATTTCTTCTTAATCGTCTGAATCATAGGACTTTTTATATTTCGAGCATCTTGAGACAATAGGCCGCTACAGAACATGCACTGAATGCACTCTGCATCTTCTGAGTCAGGTTTCCTGTTTTATTACGGCATGGGGCTCACTCTTTGTGTCAAAATGTATTTCTTCTTAATCGTCTGAATCTATAGGACTTTTTATATTTCATATTTAGACCCCATGTACTGTCTATATTTACGGAATGTCCAAATTCAGAAATTCAAACTAATCAAAATGTATATCAGATTTTTTACTAACACATTCAGACACATTCGGAAGACTTCTAAAACATTCACACAAACATTATAAGCAAAGCACGATCATAATATAAATATAATTTGCAATCATATATCAAGAAATACTTACAGTACGTCTGTCCGTTCTGTAGCTACGGGGTATCCGTGAGAGGGGAAACGATATTCTCTCGATGTTTTTCGTAAAAAATTAGACGACGCGTCCCATCAATAAAAATTCGACAAATTTGCAAGTGGCTAATAAAATGAGTGGGCGGAGCGATTTGCGGTGACGTACTCGTCAAGTCGACGTATTAAATATATTGCTGTTTATTTGAATGTTTTTTGTCCGCATTCCTTTCATAGACACAGATCCAGCAGATGTACTGTACTTTCTGTGTGCCTTAAAAACTTTTCTCATATAGCGCTCGAAGATAAAACACTCTCAGCGTGACCACAAAGCCCGTTTGACTGACTAGGCAAAACCTGCACATAAGTATAATAATGGAAAGAGATTAAAGATCACCGTCTTTTGCAATTAGGCGTTTTCTTCTGAGAAATTGTGGTATTCCATTTTAGTGATACTATTCCATTTTTGGTGAATTTCCTCTACGTAACTTTCCTGAGATAATATTGCTTATTAGCGCCATCGCCAGTCTGCTCATTTAGTGAACCACTATTGTACGCTTTTAGGTGACCACTTTTTCAGACAAAGTCCCATATGAGATGATTCTCCTTACCTCCCATATAGTTCTTATTCCATCCGAACTGTAAAACCGTCCTTAACTATAGTAATCGATGGGAACCTGTGTGTCGCCCGACCTGGTCGATATCTCAAAGAAAAAAAAATATATTTTAATATAATTTTTTAAATTTGTAACTTTTCATGATATAAAAATATAATCATTAATTTTTTTACGTCTTACCGAGGGATGACAGAGATTATCTACAACGAAGTTTCAAGTTATTAAATAAAATCCAAAAATTGAACTGTATGTAAATAATTTGGTCTGATGCAAAGTTTATACCTGAAACAGAATTATTGTGTATTTTTTAACAATGAAAAATTTTACATTATTTTACAGGGGTTTATAAATCAAAGTGGTTTGCGTGGCCATGGTTTCACTTTCTCTCTGAAAGAAACGACATACAGGATGACATATCTGACGACATCACCGATACATTGGATAATGTAAGTATATTATGATATACCTATCGTATAGTTAATAATTATTATAGGTACTAAAAGAGAGTGTGACAATGGTAGGTTTCTTAAAAACACATATTTTATTTCATTTTCATCTTGAGATACCATCATCAGTTTTCTTTACGATTCTGTCTAAATTCTTAACGCAGTGTTTTTCCGAAATTGAACAAAGATGGAAAAGCCAAGTCTGGGATCGCCAGCGGCAGATATTATTTTAGTTTTCTGACTGCAGTTCAGGAAACTAAAATATCTGGATATAATATATCTCTCAGATTATCTCTTTTATTATCTTTGCCTGCTCTTTGGTTCTATGGGTACATCTGGGACTGTACTATCTTTTCTATTTTGGAGTGTTTGGTGATCTTTTATATTACTTCTTTTTCGTCTTAAATATTTTTGAGGTTGTTTGAATTGGGGTCGGACTAAAAGCCAAGTCTGGGATCACCATGCGCCAGCGGCAAGATCGCAGACATTGACTGCAATTCAGAACACTAAAATAACCAAAAAAAATAACTAAAAAATTGATATAATCTCAGTCATATTAACGCTAGTATTCCGGTGTATATCGATATATCATTTAGTCACGACATTTAAAAAAAAATTGATAATACCTTCAAACGTAAAGGAGGCGCAGAAAAGCAAAAAGTCCGGTATTCAAATACCGTATGATCGAAAAAAAATTGCTTGGAAATGACGATCGTGACATTTCCCATATAAATTTATATATAAAATGACAGCGATTTTCATTTCATAGCCATCGCTGATGCCGTTTTTTTTTCGATCGTATGGTACATTTCATTCGCAAACTCTATGTATTATGTAGTTTCTTCTTATGTCAGATTATATTTTTATTCCCGAGGACTATAATCAATGTCAAAAAATATGCTAGTGTCAAGGCTGTTTTATATCTTTTTTGAAACAGCTGAATGTTGTTCTAGCTAACTTCTGCTTTCCTTAATTTATCTTCTAGTTCATTTCAAATTTCTACCGACATTTTGTTTTGCAATAAGTACTTTGCACTTTGAACATTAGATAGGTAATAATTTTATTCTCGACTTAAGGCAGTCATGACTGTTTCCAAAAAAATCCCTTTAATCTAAGGGGGCGATTTTTTTACGGAAATAAGGTCATCGGCAAAGTTTACAGAATAAAATATATCGGTGAAAGATGTGGAAAAACGACACCCGCCGTAGAAATGTTAATATTATCAATATCGGGCAGAGTTACGAAGATTTGGCCATTTAGAATAGGACTTCAAATAGAAAATTGATTAAAATAAAAAAAAATCCGATCAAAATAAAAAAAAAATCTTATTAAATTAAAAAAAAATATTTTTAGATTTTTTAAAGAAATCTTGATTTTTTTGCACCCTGGACTTAGAGGACATTAATTATATTTACTCTTTTATGACGTCTATTTTAGTTGTGTTTTTTTGTAATAATTAACAACGAAATTATCTGCTTCTTTTTAGTAAAACATTAAATTATTTATGAATAGACATGTTCACTAATTTCTAATTTCAATGAATTTCGATAGCTATATACATATGAGTAAAAAAACATGGCACTCAAAATTTTTCTTAAAAACTATAATTTTCTCACATAAACGCAAAACATAATTGAGAAATGCAGCAAGGCTAGAAAACGTACCCGGCTCGAGGCTACCTGTTTTTGACGTCAGTGCTTTGATCGATCGATGGCGTCCGTACGATCGTGCATGCGTAACATCTTACCTAACCGTTCTTGTATCATGACTTGCCGCATTGCTTTTGCAGACGTTCGCGAAGGTGTATTGTTTAGTTTCATTGTTTTGATGTTTTGAAGAAGTAAAATGAGTTCAAATAAGTGGTGTTTTGTCCCTGGGTGTATTAATACTTCAAAAAATAATCCACAGAAAATATTCATCTCAGTGCCTCGGAATGTTTTAAAAAAGAAGAAATGGTTTGCTGCAGCGAAAAGGGAATTAAAAGCTGTTTCATTGAAAACCATATTTTTTTGCTGTGAAGATCATTTTAACGTAAGTTGCGAAGTCGTGTCTTTATTGCTAATGCAATATTAAATGCTGAACTTACATTTTTAGCTTACCGAAGACATGGAAAATTATTATGAATACAAGCTAAGCAAAGTTCAGGCTCGAATGAAGCCAGATGTAGTCCCGCATATTTTCGCTTGTGAAGCTGATAAAAAATCAAATAATCCCCGCATAAGTAGTGAAATAAGATCGCGGAAGAGAAAAATTTCTGAAATTTTTATTAATTCTGAAACGAATCTCTCAGAAAACGTAATTGATAATTCACCAAATAATATTACACAAACAAGTACATCTTTAAATTCAACCGAAGAAACTAAGAACTCAAGTGATTCTTGTCAGGCTAATCCTATCAAATATCGAAGCAAAGCAGTCCAGGCTTCATTAGCTGTAAAAAATATTAGCACATCCCCTATAAAATTTGCAGTGCCGGAATTACCCGTTATTCCTGGCAGTAAAAAATCAAGACTTGTGCGATTCAACAGCGATGAAGGCAGTGCATCTGCGATAAACTTTGGTGCAAGTGGTTCAAGTGCTTCTTCGGTTTCGTCTAATTCCTCAGACAATTTTAATTTAAGTGACGTAAGTAGTAACAGTACTGATAATATAAAAGATAATAGGGTGAAATTCAGAGAGATGTTTATTAACATATTAGAAAAATAATTGCGAATGTATACCGGGGTTCCAAAAGAAAATCAGAAATATCTACATCTGTTGGAAACAAGATGTTGTTTGAAAATAATGTTTATACCTACACTCAGATGCAAAAAAATGCAACGGAGAAAAAATTGGTCAAATTTAAAGTGTTATATTTTTGTTATTTTTAGCCCTATTTTCATGAATTTTCTAGCAAGCTGTATATAACTATATCAACTTTAATTCGTAAACTTAGTTTTTTATTAACTTTAGTATTTGGCATATTATACAGGGTTAATCGAGGGGTTATTTTTTTACCCTAACTTTGACACACCCTGTGCAATAATTTTGTGAGCAAATTTTTCTATAATATAATTTAACGGTCAGAACCATGTCTTCTGAGTTCTGAGCATTTTGGTTTTTGGGTTATGTCAATACATACCTTGGTTAATTTTTAAGAGCGAAATGAATTTGCCACCAACAATTTGCAATTTTTTCAATTATAATATCTTTTTTAATTTTTTTTTTCAATACCTATGACAAAGTGGCTTTGGTGATTATTATGAACTATATACTACTATGAACTGCCCATCATGTTCGACATTTGGGAAATGCTTGGCAGGAGGGTTAGATGTCACGAAGTGGTACCAGCTTCATTAAATGAACTTCGCTTGGTTCTTAAAGAAAAATGGGAAAGCATAGCGCAATATGATATTTGCAGTCTCAATGACAGTATGAACGGACGTATAGAGGCAGTTATAGCAGCCAGGGGAGACAATACAAAGTATTAGGGTATTTTTTACATTTTTTTTTCTCTTCGTATACTTCAGTATTACAGATGTTTTCTTTAATATCGTTAGTTCTGTTATCGTTATTAATGTTTATTAAAACCAGGACTGTATCGTTAGTCTTTAACGTTTTTTTAAATTTATTATAGAGTATCCGATGCAGTGTAATATGACGTTACGACAATAGTCACCAAAACCACCTCGTCATATAAAAAAATTACATCAAAAGTAATGATAACTGCAAAAATTGCAAAATAATTGTGATCAGTTCATTTTCCTCTTAAAAAATAACCAAAGCATGTATTGACATGATCCAAAAAACAAAATGCTCAGGAGACATGGTTCTCACCGTAAAATTATATTTTAGAAAAATTTACATACGAAATTATTGCACAGGGTGTTTTAAAGTTAGGATAAAAAACAAGCCCTCGATTAACCCTGTATAATATGCCAGTTACTAAAGTTTATACAAAAAACTGAGTTTACGAATTAAAGCTGATATAATTATATACAATTTGCTAAAATATTCATAAAAATAGGACTAAAAATAACAAAAATACTACTACACATTTTATGAAAACATTAATTTTTTGGCCCAGTATCTTATCCGTAAAAAGAAATCGCCCAATCCAATTTAGAGTCACTTTTTCCAATGTTCAATCAATTATAGATTGTTTCGAGATTGAGTTACAAAAACCAAGTTCATACATATAAACAGCAAGCCTTAACTTGGTGAGACTATAAAAAATGCAACACCATAAAGTATCTAATCTCAGCAACACCAGATGGTCTTATCAATTTTGTGTCAAAAGGTTATGGTGGACGTACTAGTAACCTTGCTATATTTGAAGATTGTGGATTTTTAATTCACCATACCGAAAACAGTGTTTTAGTGGCTGATAGAGGATTTAAAAAAATCGAAACTTTTTTACACAAGAAAATTGTACATTAGTTAGACCACCTAGTATTGCCAACAAAGAAAAAATGTCACGGGATGATATGTCCTTACTAAGAGAATAGCGAGTGTCCGAATTCACATTGAACGGATTATAAAACGCGTTAGGGATTTTAACATATTAAGTTCACATGCTACTGTGAACTTAGGATTAGTTCAAAGTCTTGACAATATTGTGATTATAGCTGGTGCTATAATAAATTTACAAAATCCAATAATTCAACAATAAAATGTATATTAAACTCAGTTACAAATGTTTTGTTTTATAATATAAAAATATAATATGTAATATAGAGAATGAAAACTTATGAAATAAAAATATCCAACTAAATTCTAAGGCCTATTCTTTGCAACTGGCATACAACACTGGGAATGCATTAGCTTTCCAAAATGAAAGCGCGCATTCAATAACATTTTCTAAGTACGATTATAAAATCATTTGTTTCTTCAAAATCAGGGTGTGCAATACTGAAAAAAACCTTTCGTAACATTTTGTGAAAGCATTTGAAGATTAATTTGAGCCAAATATTTTTTGGATATTTCGTTTTTTTCATTTATGTAGCGTTTGAAACTTTTCCACAAAATAGGGCATTTAAACCCTACAACGGCGTCTTCTGTAACACCATAGGGCGAAGCCCCAATAACTCCGAAGTCCTTTAAAATTATGAATCCACTATCGTAAATTTTCGTTTTTATTTGTTTTTTTTATTTCTAACAAAACTAACCTTTCCAAATTTTTTCCTCTATTCATTGCAAAACTGTCAAATTTTTTTGCCACACCAATAATTTGATTAACTAATGAACCACTTGCTGTTTTACAAACAGCCATTCCATACAACTTCGAAGCAGTGATACGACCATATCGAAGCTCATACCACAATGAATCTTCGCTTTGTGCAGTACTGAGCTCTTGGGCTTTCTGTATGACTGCAGAATTTATAACAGTCTTACAAAAAATTATGAAAGCATCAGCAGTTTTTTGTAAATCGCTTTTTGCAAATTCTACCATTAGTTGATGCATTGACAACTTTCTCACCTCATTTTCTACTCCTGTACTGTTATGTGAGCCAAAGGGGCAGACATAATTTGATTTACTTATTAATTCAACAACTTCTTCACATAAAAACCGTCAGCATTTGGAAGAGGTTTGAGACTTTCTTTTAATTGTTTTCCTATACATTCTGCTTTTATGAATTTTTCTGTAGATCCTACGTTAGGCAGAGCTGGTTTCTTCCAGTAACAGACTACCTCCGTAGGGGCCAGGGTTGCCAACCGTACGAGGTTCCTCGTACAAATACCAGCTTTTTGACTTGCTGTACGAGGTACGAGGACAGGACTTTCCTCGTACAATTATGTACGAGATTTTGATAAAAGATGATTTGATACTTTAACGTGACTTTTTACTTCGGCTTGCGTAATATTTTATAGGATTAATGAGGGTTTTCCAAAGGAGATACTTCACATATAGGCTTAAACCTTAAATACATGTAAACTACACATGTAATTTTATAGACTAACTAATAAATGATTACCTATTTTTTAAATCTCGTGGTCAAATTATTTATTAACATGTCTTCTCATTTAACTTCAATTAACAGATTAATATGTTTAGTGCAAATTTTTGTCTTTATTGCAGTTATTTTAAATGTTTATTAAATGTACGAGGTTTTTATCCTTTTTATAGTGAAATACGAGATTTTTACCTGTCTATGTACGAGGGAAAAAGTTCTACGGTTGGCAACCCTGGTAGGGGCAGGTTCCTCTGATCGGCGATACAGCCACATCAAAAACGCGATTGAATGCTTACATCCTCCAAGTGAAGCCACACAACTAAGACATGAAACATCTATTATGTTTTCAGCTTCTTCATCTATATTAGCGGTGACAAAATATGGCTTATCTCTGATTTTATGTTCGGGGCAAATTCTCGCTCGTAATAAGCAGTTTTTTCCTGATCGTTTAACTTATACGTAACCGATAGCAGAATCACCATAGCTTTCGCGGGCAGAACTAAAATAAAATATTTAGGATAAAATTTACTACCTACATATATGTACTTTAGTAAATGTGCTTCAAGTTATACCGGGTAATTTTAACGTAATGATGCTGTGTTAGTTGAAATGAATATCAGAATTCAAATATATTATAACAAAGTATTTCAAACATGAAAAACTTTTAAAAAACAAGCTTTTATTAAATGCACTAAAAAAGAGCAAATAAGAATTAATGATACCGTAAAAAAAGCGAGGGGCTCAAATAATCCTTATTATTGTTTTCGTGAAGTTTAAATCGTTACATTGCGCCCCTTGCTTTTAATTCTTATTTTCTACTTTTAAGTGCATTTAATTTTAAGCTTGTTTTTAAAAAGTTTTTTTATCAATTTTTTTTACTTGTAAATTTTTCGCTTAATATGGGTCCTATAGGGTGTCTAATTTAAAATGAGGTACATGGGGATCTTGGAAATCGTTGAAAATACAAAGTCGGTTAACATAAATGTGCCCATACATAATCTATGTCTATTTTATTTTAAATCCATACCGTTACGTAGATACAAGGTGAAAAAGAGAATTATAATAATAATAAACCATACATTAAATCAATAAATTAATTAAATTATACAAATATTTTAAAATATGTATTTAGCAGATTACTGATATAAAGGTAGGCGTATCTGTCATTGGATAAACTTAAATTAAATTCAAGGAACAGGAGATAAACCTATAAGGTGTTGGAGATCAGATTAATAATCAAGTCAGTTTTAAAAAGCGGAATCATAATATACATGCAAAACATACACCAATTTTTATTTTAAACAAATAAGTACAGAAAATTGTAATATGCTCGTATCATAGTTAGTGCTATGTTAGTGCTATGTTTTTTCTATATTTATAAAATGTCTTAAAACAATAAAATCAAAAAATAAAAAAAAATAATATTTTATACACTAATAATAAATTATTTATAAACATTTCTTGTCTTAGGAGAGGACTTCAAGCGTGTCGGCACCACAATATGAAGGAGATATACAGAGTCCACGTAGCAGTAGTCCAATGTCGTCGAATCAATACAATGAAGTCCAGCTCTCTAAAAAAATGAAAGTGGAAATTGATGAGGAGTATTTAGATGAATTGGAAACGCCTATGGAAGATTTACCATCCTATGTTCAAACTAAGAACGATGAATTTGAAGCATTTGGTGGTTCCATTGCCGCTCAATTACGTGCTCTTCCATTAGTGGATGCTGTCGAACTGCAAATGGAAATTCAACAATTAATATCGAAAAAACGCCTTTCACGGTTGATTCCTCAAACTAACGATTTATAAATAGGAATATGTTGGATCATAAAATGGCGTCAGAGTTGGCTTAGAAATGATGATTGATGACATTCTCCATATAATTTTACATAGAAAATGACAGCGACCTTAATTTCTGAGCCATCTCTGACGCCGTTTTTTTTCGATCATATTGTATAATAATGAATATGAAACTGAGCTGGTGTGTGCTTTTACAGACGTATTATATGTACCTATATAATAATAATAACATATAACTTACAGTATTATATACGCAATTTTTACTCTCTTTAGAAAACTCTTTTAAAATAACAGTTTTTATTGTATATATTTATAGCAAAGACATTATAAAGATAGACCGAACATCTCATTCATAAATACTCGTTGGTAGTGTATCAAACATTCCAATGTGTCAAACAAGGACAGAAGAGACAGAGAAGTCTAAAATTTCCGACCCCGGCAACTAGGCGCATTTGGGATTGTTCTAATGGCCAGTGGCGTATCGTTTTTTGGAACGAATTTAATTAGTAAAGTAAAAGTAAAGTAATTAGTAAAATTTTTACTCCATATTAATATACTACATTAACACTTTTTCGTCAGATGAGTTTTGTTATAAGGTCGAATATAATAATACAATTAATATCCCACATATACTTATGTTGAAACGTTAGTAGTTTTCGAAAATCACTCCAACGTCGATTTTCAATTTAAACTTTCAGTTACTTCTATATAAACTTTCAGTTACTTTTGAATATTTACAGGGTGACTTAGGCTTCCGAAACAGTTCTATATTAGGTTTGTGGTTGGTGACTTTTCTTTCAATTTTTTTTCAGAATATGGAGGCATTTAGGCACATTTTAGACATTTTTGTAAACATAGGTGGCCGGAACATATTTTCAAACCAAAGTTGTAGATTTGCCATTAAATTTCCATTCCAGAAATACCTAGGGTTGCCACTTGTCCTTTTTTGAAAAGGACAGTCCTTTTTTGGAATAACTTATCCTTTTGACTTTTTTTAACTTAAAAAGTCATTTTTATTTACGTATTTTCCCTGAGAAAATTACGTACAGCAAACAGAAATATTCTTTTCGCCCAAATTTAATTAGGAATGTTATAAAACTTAACTTATAAATAAATTTTTCTTGTTTAGAATAGGCAACATTATTTAGAACTTCCCGTTTAATCTCAAATGATCGTTTAGGTTTTAGTTTTACCTTTTTTTATCTTAAAAAGAACTTTTCAAAATTAGTACCTAATTAGTAACGATTTAGTTAGTTCGCAATCGATAGCTTCCTGTGAAGTACTGTGTAATAGTTGTTTAATCTTGTATTATTAATAACTTCCTATACCCAAAATCAATATTTAATGAGAAAATTGTGTTTTTTTTTGAAAATATAAGACAATATTTGACTTTCGGTCTTCTTCTTGTATTATGATGGCTCTGATACGAGGCAATTGCCTTTTAGTCTCGCAATAGAAGGCATTTATCATTAAAATTATAAAATCTGTGTGCTACAGTATGGGATTTCTGTCGCATAATAATAAATACCTATTACGTTTCTTTACACATCCATTACTTTTAAAGGTAGCTTCATCAGATAATCAAATTTTAGTTAAATGTCCTAATCTTCATGAACTGTATTAAGCATATGTATTGCGGTTTGAATCACCCTGTATGTTGACAAAAAAATTTTGAAAATGTGCGTTACAATGGCCCCCATCTTATGTAAAAAATTGAAATAAAAATCACAAACCAAAAACGTAATAGGTAAAAAGCTTTTTTTTGATATAGGTATGTATAAAACTAGTAGCCTAAGAATTATTTACAGTTCGTCCCATTCTAAAAAAAGTTAAACACACCGTACAAATAACTCTAGGAAGATGTATTTGTACGGTGGTAAAAAATTGTCTAAACAAGGCCGAAGGGGCAGATATAATAAAGCTAATAAAATGTAAAAAAGGTCGGGTAAACACCTTTGTTTATTTATTAAGCAAAATTCCTTTAGAATATCGTATATAATGACCAAAATAAGACGCAATTTTAAGAAAAAAATGTCACTTTCTGGCTTATAATAAAGTTTCAAATGTAACGTTTATATTCAAATTTTTTATGATCTACAACAGTTAGGTAGTAATTGAGACGAATTATAATTCAATTACCGGCTACTACGTTCTTGTTTTAATAGATCAAAATTCAACAAATATAATTAGAAATTATTTTAATTGTGAAAGGCTCCCTTGTGGGACGCCTATATACGATTACGGCGCGGCGGAAACAATACCTACCTGTGAAAAGACAAATTCGGGTAATTTGAGCTTATTTGTCCACACATTTGGCACTGTCGTACCATATTGAAAATTCGCAGATTCAAAAGTACATTAAACAAAAACAAAAACTACTGAAAAGTTCACTTCGGACTTGATTCCGACTTCAAACACACCGTAAGCTAAACGTAGTACGCTATAACGGACCATAGGCCGTCGCGAGGGGTGGTGGGACGGACGGCTCATTTCATTCTGCAAGACTAGCAGCGACGTTGCCAGTAGTTCTAGACGTTTCAGCACATTAAACAATAAACATGTCTAGTAACGCATATATCCTCTGGTTAATACCATATTATTACGCATGCTTCTTTAAAAATAAACTATTAATTTAATTAAGAAATTGAGATTTATTGATATCCGGTGAAGGTTTTAAAGTCACCTTTTCTGCAAATCAAACTAAGTAGATAGGCGCAAATTTGATATGTGGCAATGTCGCCTTCTCTATCTCAGTTGATTTTTACAGTACGTAGTCAACCTCCGAATGTTTGATCGGGTTAAAATGCATAATGTGATATCTGTTCTTCCTAAATCTATGATTTATAGGTATAGTCATAATTATTAAAAATCTTATTAAAGATCATCTGTAAATTAAATAGTAAAATATTGTATAGAAAATTCCTTATCCTTGTCACTAAACCTTTGGTATAAGGCTCTACATGAATTTCAATTTTATGAAGACTTTATATTATTACCGGTAAGTTTCTCTTCTTTCTTCAAAGTAGGTACGCACCAAAATCTGTCTTTTTACCTTATATGTTACTAAACAAAATAGTAATTTCGTTTTAAAACTAGCCTGCAAGGAGTCTGGCTAAATCTTGACAAAATTTCGATTTCAAATTTATTTTTTACTGCTTGAATCAATCTGAATTTCATCTATAAGATTTTGGTCATGATTATGTTGGAGGAATAGGAGTCCTCTAACGATCTAAGACACTCGAAAAAGTTCCCCAGAACTTATAACCGAGAAAAATCAAAGATTTTGCTTGACTTAAGTCAAAACAATCTTCGGACTGTCACGGAGTTTCTAATAGGACGCTCTCTTCAACAAACACTTCAGTAGACTGAAGTTGAGGAACAACGGCGAATGCAGATCCATCTGTAGGGAAAATTGGGGAACTTATTACTGAGTGTGCCGAGACGACGACCGTTCGTGCCATGAATTTGGTACGGCTGATGTCGAGGATGGAGAGCTAGCCTCTCTGGAGCCGTCTCAGATACTGGCTTTTGTTCATGCCCTGAGACTGTTAAAGCCGTGAGACGAGTTATAACTCGTTATAACTTAAGAAAGGGAAACACACAATAGATTTGTAAGGTCGCGGTGATTAACCCCCCTCCTAAACATTCTATATTCTACATGATTATGTTAGTGTTGGTGTATATGAAACCGGACATTTTTTATTATATCTTATACAAGATATCTGTTAATAGAACAAACCTGATGCACTTGAAATCTTTTAAACTGTATTGTCGATAAAGGTACAGAAATCTAAATATTTTTTTGCTGCTCTTACTAATAGTCTACAAAAAGGTGCCAATCTTTTCACAGCTTTAACTTAAACATCTGTATACAAAAAGCATTTAATTTCGTTGCTTTGCTAGTACTTTCGATGATTAAAAATTAGTATTATGTATTATCATTCTTCAACATGTCAAGTATTCTTTATAATATCAATAACAATGTGCTCAGTTCCACTCATTGATATACCGGGTGCGTCGGTATATAGTGCTCAGTTCCACTCATTATCGGTATTGATATACTCACTCCTATGACTTTTATATTTTTTCAGATAAAAAAACGAGATTTCATATGATTGCATTTGCCATAAATTAGGACAGATTGCCGTATTCAGTTTTTTTTGTCACTTCCTGTTTCACCGAAAATGACTACAACTTTTGGTTTTTAAATGACACCCTAGGTATATTTCTACTTTAGTCGATTGACATATTATATAACACTCATATATGAATAGAGTGACACGTCATATGTCAATTTTTGACATTTTTGTTTAAAAAAAATCGTCATTTAAATTTTAATCTAGAGTGCCATGGATGTGTTAAAAACACTAATTTTTAAGCAAGGAGCCTTTGAAAAATAGTTTTGATCATCTAATGTTTTTCGTGTCTTTTTCTGGCCGGTTAAAATATGCCTAAATAGTATTTTTAATCGTATCTCAATTTTTTCAAATGGAACAAGGGTGGTTCATTAGCATATTTGGAAAAAGTATTTATTTCGAGTCAAATTTTCGTTATGAACCGCATGTTACAATTTCAAATAAATCATAGCCGAAAATATCAAAAGTTGACATATGATAAGTCATTCTATTCAAAGTGTCATTTTCTAACCAATATAGTAGAAATATACCGTTGGTGCCATTTAAAAAATAAAGGTTGTATAGTAATTTCCGAGGTTTAAAAAAAAGTGAAAGGGACATAAGCGATTCACAAATGGGGTTCAGGCAAGGGTTAGGTACAAGGGAAGCGATAGTTGCAACACAGGTGCTTGTCCAGAACTGCTACGATCAGAGAAAGAATGTGTGCCTGTGTTTCATAGACTACGAAAAGGCATTCGAACCCTACCTTGACTAATTTCTATTTAACTTCCTTAACTAATTTTAATTTAATCTTAACTTTTAACTAATGTCATTTAAAACAACCTTTGTGCTAATATTTATGTGTCTAAAGTAAGCAGTAACGAAGATTCATAATGAACTGACAACTGGCCTCTAATGCAACTAGAAACTGTTGCAAGGTATTTTATTTCGTTCCAGGTATTCTTTGGACAATAATCAGGAGCGCCGGCTTTTATAAAACCTCGTCGGTGCTCATGAAATATGGGTAAATGTAACAAATTTCCAAATTCTGGCATTTGTTGCATTTATTACCACTTTTTTACATATGTAACATATATAATAAAATTAGGAACCTAACCTAACCTAACACCATATCAATTTATGCCATT